GTTTCCTTCATTTCTCCTTTTATACAAAAAGTCTCGCTCATTAATATTTATGTTTTAAGTAAAATTTTGAAAATTCGTTTAATAGATTCTTTTACATACCTGGTCCAATTTATTTAATGATTCATCAGTTATACCCATACTTTCTTACTTCAATATTAATAAAATTACTATTTATATCAGATTTTGCTAGTCGTTCAGTCTACCATTCATAAGTCAATAGTAGAGGACTTCGGACAAGGTACGCCAAATTGAGTCACCCTGACAACACAACCAAGTTGAGAAACGAGGTCAGCCCACTTGATTACCTAAATTTACAGGATATGGCAAACGGCTTAAAGTAGGTCACGAGTAAAATGGATCGGTGCATACATTATAAGAATCTCAGTAACTTGCAAATCAGAATTAAATCGAGAGATTTTGCACTTTAGGTAATTAGTAATAGTAAGGTTTTTCACAAATTTGAGAAAAATAAGGTTGTTAATTTGTTTCATATGATTTTCATTAAAAAGAGGATTCACTTTTGCTCTTCCGCATGAATTAAACTATTCTCTTTATATACTTGTTAAATTGATTGACTTATGGGATTGGTTGCCTGAGAGCGTGATGAAAATTATTGATTCGGAGCTTAATCTTTATCTTGACTATGCGAAAAGAATCTTGTTTTCTTAGTAGGGCTTCTCGATATTTGTTATAGCAATCTAATTACTATAAGGGCCGACGTTGGTGGAGCAGTGGTAGACATGGGTAGTTCCAGTAATGTTAAAAAAGACTAGTTCATTTAAATCATGATGCCTTTAATGAGAGAACCAAAAATGGCACACATTTTGGCAGGTGGGATGTAAACATGTCAGAAGTTGTGATAGGGTGGGAGTTGAATAAGAGGTTAAGAAGTAGATAGATTGGCCAGGACCGAAAGATGAATGATAGTGTAGCCGTTTCGGCAGAACGTTGGTCGAGGGATTGACTTCACTCGTCTCTGACGAGTTTGTAGCTTGGTTCGACGAATAGCAAGACTCACTGATGATGCTGGTGTAACTTCTAAGAATGTACTTAGTTCATGGTGTGATACTGGAAATTATTATTACTACTATGGCAGAGGACTTCGGACACGGTGCGTTCATCTAAGTCTCTTTGACACCAAGACCAAGTTGCGAAAACGAGGTCAACCCACCTCATTACGCTTTTTTATCATTTACCTTTCTGATTCATTCTTACCTCTTACCTTTCATTTGTACATTTTCTCCATTATCTTTTCCCCTTAGGCCTTTTCCTACTTTGCTAATCCACTTTCCAGAGTTTAGCTCCCGAAGCGCTCATGGCAACTATGTAGACTGTGCCCGTTGGTTTGGCGGCTTAGTTGTTTCCAAGTCTTGCGAGAACTGTGTCGTCCTATGGCGCCCTGGACAACTGGAAGATGCACCTTTATCTCCCTTACTCTCCAATACGCAAATGCAGGTGACCGGAGGCCTTAACTTCCCATCTCATCTACAACCGGTTCTCAATGGACCCGGAAAAATGAGGTTCGTATATTATAAAATTGTTCATCTCCTGTACCCTCTATTTTATACCACTTCCATAGTCAATGAAAGGTATACACAGTTAAAGCTAGCTGCATATACAGCCTTACATTCATACTCAATCAGACTGAGATTCGCTATAAAATGACTTCCAAGGTATTATGGATCGTCAATCCTACTTGCGCCTATAATCACTCCCACTTTTCTCCGCATCAAGTAAAAAAGATCATTAAATAAATTTTAATTGATGTGAAAACTAAATGGTGTGGCCTTTAGTATAGTCGCAGCCAAATTTCGTATAGAAGTGGTTTGATATCGTTTATATAATCTGGTCATATTAAGAGGAGGGGGAGCAAGAGAAACGCGCCTTGTCTGGAGTCCATAGTATCCGTAATCATTTCTTGCTTTAACCATAGTCTTGATAAATTCTCAGACGTTTCGTGGCCATCTTTTCTTGTATTAGTATGATGGTGCGTTTTTCACAGTTTTCACTCTGACAATGTCTGTCGCATGACAGATGAAGGCTCAACACTGATAACTCAGGATATTGGGATGGTCAGCTAAGTAATTCTTCGCACGATTTAACACTCCACTTCAGGGCAATCCTCCAATTCCCGATGAGTCTAATTCATTGATCCTTCTCAACTATCTCTGCCTTCTAAGCGAAAAGTCCAATCCCATTAATTCTTTATATGCATTTAATTTTGTCATTAATTCATAAATGAAATTGAATTCTCTTATAGTTGGCTGTTATATTTCGTATTTTGGAATCACGCAGATGTTATATTATCTGATTTTCTTCCTCAGATGCTAATACAAGTCATATTTGTTCGCCTCCGAAAATTCCAATCTCATACGATTTTCTGCAAATTTTTACATCAAATTAAAATCATATACCTTTTTCACAGGTCTTGGTGCTAAAACACATCAGACGCATTCACAAGTATATGTCAAGCTTTAATACATGAACCGCCTACAACCCAGCACCCACTTTTTTCGCCGTGATAATTTTCCAGATTATTAGTGGTTAGTAAGGATTAGTCACTCTAGGTTGCCTAAAGCGATTTAAGTATTGATATTTTGCTTTTTTCATAACGATATGATTAGGCCTCATAATGCTATCGAATTTTGACTTGGCATCGCTTCTCAAAATGTTCTCTCACCCAGATTGGACTGCAATTTCAACCTATTGGTCATATTAGCACCCCTACTGGAATTTTATACAGGATTGTGAACTTGTCGACGTTAATACTCCGCTACGCAGCCACAGATCCCGATGGATCGTATGGCAGATCTAGTATTCGAAGTAAGCCATGTCCCTCATAAATCACATTGTATTATTCACACCCAAAATTTAATGAGTAACGAAGCTAGTCACGACGAAAATAAGTAATAGAGGTTGTTTGACCTTGTTTTCGCAACTTGGTCATATTGGTGAGAAGACTTAGAGGAACGCACCTAGTCCGGATAACATTGTATGCATGATCATTTCCAAAGTCAGGCCGTGCACGTGGTACATTCCCAGACGTTTCGCCTGCATCGTCAGTGAGTCTTGCCATTCTTAGCACCACACAACAA